CTTTACCCTTCATTGATCAAATGCTAGAGAGGCTAGCCGGGCACAAATTCTATTGTTTTCTCGATGGTTACTCCGGGTATTTCCAAATTCCAATAGCCCCGGAGGACCAAGAGAAAACAACATTCACATGCCCATTTGACACTTTTGCCTACCAACGAATGCCGTTTGGATTATGCAATGCACCGGGCACCTTTCAAAGGTGCACGATGAGCATCTTTTTCGAATTTGTGGAGGTATTTATGGAGGTCTTTATGGATGATTTCACAATCCATGGAGACTCTTTTGACACTTGCCTCTATCACCCCACTCTTGTGCTAAAAAGTTGCATTGAATCAAACTTTGTTCTAAATTCTGAAAAATGCCACTTCATGGTGGAACAAGGGATTGAAGTGGACAAAGCAAAAATTGATGTATAACAAACACTCGTGTACCCCACAAATGTACGAGACATCTGCTCTTTCCTTGCTCACGCCGGTTTCTATAGGAAATTCATCAAAGACTTCTCCGAAATTTCATCTCCCTTATGCAAACTTTTGCAAAAGGAGGTGGACATTGATCTCATTGATGAATGCAAAGAGGCTTTTGACACTTTGAAATCAAGATTGGTGACTGCCCCAATCATACAAGCTCCCGATTGGTCTCTGCCTTTTGAGATCATGTGCGACGCAAGTGACTATGCAGTGGGGGCTGTTCTAGGCCAAGATCGGGAGGGCTGCTTATGTTATCTACTATGCCTCCTCAACTCTAAACGAAGCACAAAAGAACTACTCCACCACAGAGAAAGAAATACCAGCGGTGGTCTTTGCTTTGGAGAAATTGCGTTCCTATCTTCTTGGAATGAAAGTCATTGTGTATACTGACCATGCCGCTCTTCGATTCCTAATGACAAAGAAGGAGGCCAAGCCAAGACTCATTCGATGAGTCCTTCTATTGAGTGAGTTCGATGTGGAGATCAAAGACAAAAAAAGGAGCTGAAAACTTGGTGGCCGATCATCTAAGTCGCTTGGTTCCAAACAAAGAAATTGAAGGCCTCCATACAAATCTCATCAAAGGCGAATTCCCAGATGAGACTCTCTTCTCCATCAAAGTCATACAACCATGGTACACAAATATCATGAACTTCCTGGTTTCCGGCAAATTTCCTCCACAACTCTCAAAATCTCAAAAAGAAAAATTGAGAATGGATTCAAGACTCTATGTTTGGGATGACCCATATTTATGGAAGCATTGTAAGGATCAAATAATCTGAAGATGCATCCCCAAATATGAGATAGCCCACATAATAGAGTTTTGTCATTCTTATGCTTATGGAGGACATTTCGGCCCGAAACAGACGACAATGAAAATACTTGAAAGTGGATTTTGGTGGCCAAGTCTTTTTCGTGATGCAAATGGTTTTTGTCAAGCTTGTGACAATTTCCAAAGAGCGGGAAACATTTCTAGAAGAAACGAGATGCCACAAAACCCTATGCTTTTCTGTGAGATTTTCGATGTATGGGAGATTGATTTCATGGGACCTTTCCCAAACTCTCAAGGTAATATCTACATCCCCTTTGCGGTGGATTATGTCTCTAAATGGGTGGAAACTAAAGCCACAAGAACTGATGATGCAAAGGTGGTTTCAAGTTTTCTTAAGTCACACATATTTTCTAGGTTCGGGGTTCCCAGAGTTTTGATAAGCGATAGAGGCACACATTTTTGTAATAAAATTGTGGGATCCCTACCAAAAAATATGGTGTGACTCACAAGATCTCTACAGCCTACCACCCTCAAACAAATGGCCAAGCGGAGACCTCAAATTGGGAGTTGAAGTCTATACTTCAGAAAATAGTGAACCCGAACCGGAAGGATTGGAGAAAAATGTGCAGAAGAACACGAAAACGTGGGAAAAAGATTTGGTTTGACAAATACCTGGTCGGGTATGTCAAATACCCGGCCGGGTATCCGACCATAGATGTTGAAAACACCTACAAATAACCCCATTTTTCTTCACTTTTCATCATCCCTTCTTCCATATACTTAAGCTCAACTTAGAATAGTATTTTCTTTATATTTTTCTAGCATGTTTAATCTCCAGATGAGGAGCTAAACTTCCATTTCTAGGTTTTGCTCTTGAAGCTCGTTGATTATTTAAAGTTGTGAGTTATTTTCTTAACTTCTCTCCTTGAATATTAATTCTTCCCTTAATCTATCTCTATATTAATGTTGGGGAGTGTTGCTAAGATGACAATTAGTTAACATCTCAATATTAATTATTACTAGAAACGATCAACGAAACGATGATTAATCGTTGATGGTTTCACAAGTAAGTAACTTCAGTTTCTTAATGCACGATCATGATTAATAAACTTAAAAAGGATTAATTTTGTTGGTTAAACTGAAACCGTTGTGTTGAGGTTATCAATCTCAATTGATTTCATCAAGGAGTTAGAAAGATTAAATGCTACTATTAAATCGGTATAAAGCATTGTTCTATATTTGATTAATAGTAAGAGTTATTAATGAACGGTCGTTGTTAATAACTACACTCGATGAATTGAGATACTCCTCGATTGAGTATTCGAGAGGGGATAAATTATAGATATAACAAGGATCGACTAAATATATCAACAAGTGGAAAGTAGCAAAGCCAAGTCCCTTTTATCTTTGAATCAAATCACATATAAGTTGCTCATCTTAGTTTTTAATTAAATTAAATCATTCAACCCCAAAACCCCCCTTTAATTACTATTTCATAACAAAAGAATTATTCCTTTCTCTGTGGATACGAACTCTACTACGTTATACTGCGTATAAGTGTTAAGATTTGAATTTATTTTGACGCACTACGACAAAGTGCGTGTCACACTACCATATTTGAATGTCACCGTGGAATGTCACTATCAGATTCTTTATGTCACTGTCATCACCTTCAATGTCACTACGGCCACCGTCTCTGTCACTGTGACCACCGCCAATGTCACTGTGGCTCCATCGGTGTGATTGTGGTCCCAAAAAATTTTGCCGGCTACTTTTTTGCCAGAGCACCGCCACCGCCACCTTCCATTGACCAAGCCTGCCCGTCACTAACCACCATGCACCATCACTCCCCATCCCCGCACTGTCCCACCCCACACACCGTGCAGACACTGTCACCTCCGGTGGGTGACGCTACCGACCGCCGGCCAAACCGCATCCCGCAAACCTCCAACCATGTTATTGCCAAACGAGTTCCAATCAGCCCCCATCGATGCCCAACACGACCCAACAACCCTCCCACAGTCGCTACCGTCATGGATATGGATCCAGATCTGACCTTAATCTCAATCTCTGCCCCACCACTCCCTAGCCGCCGAACCACCATCGCAGATCTGGAATAACCTTCTCTGAAGCTATGTCGGACATAAAGAGATGAAGAAGAAGTGGAGTAGGACGGCGCCAAGGACCAAGGATGACGGCGGCGGCCGCGAAGAGCACCACTGCGTCTTGCTCTGTTATAGTCCTTTGTGTAATTTTTGCTCCACGCTTTGTGAGTCTCATTATTAGAACAATATAATCCTATAAAAATTTAATCAATGTTGTACGCTTGTATGTTTCCCATTCTTTGGATGGCCTATGTAATATGGTGCAAGTTGCGTCTACTCAGAGGATGGTGCAAGCTACTGAAGTGCTGAGTTCGACGATGTGGGCGAAGGGAAGGCGTAGAAAAGTTTAACCGGCCGTGCTTTTCCTTTTCGAAGAAGGTCACATTTTTGTCCATCCAAAGTCCATAGGTAATATTGTGGTCATTCTTTTAAAAAACTATCGTTATTAAAATCTCGTATTAAAATCTGATAATGCCAAAATAGGATGATAATTACTTCTATTTAGGGAATAAAAATATTATAGTTCCATTTTAAAATTCATAAACGTTTTTTTAGCATATATTTATGATATCGTTGGGCCCGGTTGGGGGTAGGGGTGGGAAAATATACCGAAATTTCAGTATACCGGCCATACCATACCGAAAAATACCGAATTTACCGAAATTTTCGGTATACCAAAAAGTTCGGTACGGTATGATACCATACCGGGTCACTTCGGTACGGTAAAGGTATGAATTTTTTAAATTTTCGGTATTTCGGTATATACCGAAATACCGTTAATTTCGGTATGGTACGGTATATACCGAAATACCGATATACCGAAATAGAATTTGTAAATTTTTAGGGCCAAACCCATTAAATGAAATTATTAAAATACCAAGGCCCAAAATTAAAATAACTCATCTTATAATACTACAGCCCTTCTCTAGTTCTCCCAAGTAAAGGCCTAAATCCGTAATCAAATAAATGAGAGAACATGAGTTTGCACCCCATGTTTTGGGTGATATATTTATAAACAAATGATAAAGTATATTGATAAAATATTTATACGCCGGACGACCATCATATTACCAAAGTAGAAAAATCTCTTATTTATACGGAGCTGCAACAATGATTCAAAGATTTGTTATTACAAACATTAGTTATCATTGATTTATGTTGGATAAATATTCTAATTTTCATTATGGATTGTGTTGAGACTTGAGATATTAGCACATAATTTTAGTATTTTCTACTTTGAATTAAATATTGTGTTTTAGTTTTGGTATCGGTTTATGTATTGATGTCGTATGCTACTTTTGACTTGTTAAAATCAGTTTTTTTGGATGTTCGGTAGGCTCCTTAAGCTAATACTTTATACGGAATTGCCAAGAAATTTATTTTTTTGAATTTTCGGTATAAAACGGTATGAGTTACATACCGTACCGAATTTTCGGTATACCGAAATTCGGTATACCGAAAGTTTCGGTATGGTAACAGTATGACATTTACCAATACCGGATTTTCGGTACGGTATGCGGTATGACGATGAAATTTCGGTATACCGTACCAAACCAGCCCTAGTTGGGGGTAAGGATCATATATTTTCCATTTTTTGAGATAATTTTTTATTTTATTTTATACGCAGTAAATATTTTTGTCACTATTTGGAGTATGTTATTCTGTCTCTCAAAACAATTTAACAGTGAGGATTCAATCGCGAAATCAGTGGACGGTTACCTATGAGGGAATAATTGAGAATTGTACCTGGCTAACTGTTGTCTGTATTTCTCTTACACCGTCTATGGTGGAGTAGTCAAAGACTTTCAAAGGCCTTTCAACAAGTCTTTCATCGCCAGCCGAAACGACGACGTCTATCCGGGGTTTCTGCTCGGAGCTCTTGAGTCTTTTCTGATCTGGGTACCCTAGGTCTGTACCATGACATTAAGTCTTGAAACCTGCTGATTGAGCTGGAAGTTCATTCCGCATCTAAGCATATACCAGTAATTATATGATGAAGTAGTTTCTGATGGATTATCAAATTGCATGGGCTTGTTTTATAAGTTATTTATCATAGTCGTTGCATCCCCATATATTTGTTAAATCAGTGGTGATTTCTGCTGTTTGCCGGCAAACTCAAGCAGGATAATAACTCTAACGCATGGTGCGACTTATTGAGCGAGCTGTATTAGTTCAGGTTTTTTCGTGGTATATGTGGTTTTCTATTGCAATTCTGAAGCAAATATATTATGCTTCTTAATCTGCACTATCAATTTTTACGATTTCATTCAACTTTACAATGACTTGGCTGAGCTTCCTTTTCTATGTTGAATTGCCTTTTATATTTTCATTTCTTTGCCCATCCCTACCCTTGGAGTGCGTGTTCTGTTAATGTGCGTGTGTTTTCTGGGGTGGGGAAGAGGTTGGCCCTTTGTTATATATTGTTGTTCTAAAATTTATATTTATGCTTTTATTTACTTTCTTAAACACATCTCCTTTGTACTTATGTGGGGCATTTACATTTTCAATTAATCTGCAAATGATCAAGTATTCATAAATCATAATGCTACAGAAACTCATAATTAGAATCTATTTCCATAAAAGATCATATCCAATGTAGTTTTTGTATGTATTTGGCCTGTTGCTATTTCTTAAATAATATAATGAATGAGACACAGTGAGGGAAGGAAGAATTGGTTATGTTGATAATCTAGCTTGGCACGTTGTTTCTTTTGCTCATTTTCAGATAATTCTGCTGTTGCAAATTTCCATTCACAGCGGGTCTGCTTTCATGAGAAAAAGTGACAGTCATTTAATTCAACCGACTGCCACATAAATATCAACTGAATAGCTGAGTGGGCTTTCCAACTCAGTTTTAATAACTGAGGGCCATCTAGACATCAATCGAAACTGCTACCTCTGCGGAGCTCATCATCCATTCTTTTCTTGAATGGATTCTTTATTAAAATCTGGCATAGACGTTTAGTGAGTCCTGTCTCGAGCCACAAAAATTCTCCATAGAATGGTATGCCATTGAAAGAAAGTACATGCATTTTTACCCTACTATCCTTTTCCATCACCCTACTCATAGTTCCTATAAGTGCACTAGGTAGAAAGTGCATTTTGTTCAGGGGCATAAGAAGAAATAATGGATGAAAGGTTAGAGAAAAAGTTCCCTATCAATGCCAAGGATTACGAATTATACGAGGAGGTTGGAGAAGGTGTAAGTGCCACTGTGTACAGAGCTCTATGTGTTCCACTCAATGAGATAGTTGCAATCAAGGTTCTTGACCTGGAAAGGTGTAACAATGACCTGGTATGTAGGACTCTTCAATGTATCGCATGTTGATATTTCAATATCTTACAAAGTAAATTAGGTGGTTTAGGGCAGGATTGCCTTTTTCCATCCATACTACATAAGATGATGATTAGAAAGCTAGTTGTGTTTGCAAATTTTGCACTCCAAAGAAATATTGTTTTTAAAGGAATCAGCATGGATTTCTTGCTTCTGTCCTCACTACGAACACTTATACTCCCTCTATCCCATTGGACTTTGCCAACTTTCCTTTTTTGGTTGTCCCAACAAACTTTGACACTTTCCTATTAAAGCAACTAATTTATGGTTCTGTTCAATAACTTCAATTCTCTCTCCTCTTTTTCTTATTTCTCACATATTTTGAACTTGGCAAAGTCCATCGGCACGGAGGTAGTAATTGTTTTCATTCATCTTAGTTTTGATGTATTCTATGTAAACTAAAGCTGCCATTGGTTAAGAGGAGTGTTTCCTTTCCTTTTTCTTTTTGAAGGATGGAATTCGCCGAGAGGTGCAGACAATGATTTTGATTAACCATCCAAATTTACTCCGTGCACACTGCTCATTCACGGCTGATCATAACCTGTGGGTTGTGATGCCATACATGGCTGGTGGATCTTGCCTTCATATAATGAAATCGTCTTATCCTGAAGGGTTTGAAGAGCCGGTTATTGCCACATTATTGCGTGAAGTCCTGAAAGCACTCGTGTATCTTCATTCACATGGACACATCCACAGAGATGTAAAGGTATACCATGCATACATGGGGTCATGGACTTCTCCTTACATATGATTCATTGAATGTCCGCGAACATGTACAAGTTGATTTCTGAACACATTCTGGGATTGGTTGTATGGTAGGCGTGTTTTTCACAGTTATTTCCATTTCAAACTTTTCTTCTGCACATGGTTTAAAAAGGCGCGTACAGGGCGGGTTTTGAGGCGCACCATAAGGTGAGGCGTACAGAGAAGGTTTTGAGGCTTAGGTTTTTTTGAAGAACAAGAGGCTTATGCCTCAAAATTTAAGGCTTTATTACTAGTTTAAATATTTTAAGTTTTATTACTAATTTAATTATTTTAAGTTTTATTATAGTTTAACTATTTTATGTTAATTACTAGTTTAACTATTTTAAGGTTTTATTACTAGTTTAAGTATTTTAGATTTCATTTTTTGGTATATTCTGAAATATGAATATCGCTACCCCAAAATCTTTTGAGGCTTACTCCTCGTCTCTCTGAAACAAACCGCCTCGATACCAAAACTAGCCTTTTTAAAACTTGATTCTGCATACACTGATACAAGTATGACCTTTTCAATTACCTTCTACTGCTCTCGTCCATCCCCAACTGAATTGAAGTTTCCCTTAGCGAAGAGTGGAATAATCCATAATAAAGGACCCAGTTGACCAAACATTACTAGTTCCAGGTTATCAGTTTGTTGAGTCTATGTATGATGTATCTCTCATCCTTTCCTGCATCCTGCCTCGCATCATCTTTCTACTTTCCACTAGCCACACTTCAGCTCCAAGGAAGGGGTTTGGACTTGATTAAGCCGATTCTGGCATATCCATGTGATGCGGGTTAGGAGATCACACCCTTCTTTCTTTATCTTCACTGCTCTACTTTTGTGGATTGGACCTTTTGCAGGCTGGGAATATTTTAGTTGATACAAGTGGTGCAGTCAAGTTAGCTGATTTTGGAGTATCTGCGTGTATGTTTGATACTGGTGATAGGCAAAGATCAAGAAATACATTCGTCGGGACACCCTGCTGGTAAGAAGTTGACTATGCCAATGCGTATACTATATGCACTTTTACTTTCACGAAAAAGAAACAGTTACGAGTACAACAACATCCAAGGCCTTAGTCCCAAAAGATTTTGGGGTCGGCTAACATGAATTAGGCATGACAATGGGTTGGGGCGGGGTAGGTACTGCAAAACCCTAACCCTCTCCGTGACTATACTAGGTCGCCCTGCCTCGCCCTGCCCCGTGACCCACACGGGTCAACACTTGTTGGCCAATGACCTGCCCCATGCAGGGTGGGTCCGCCCCGCTGTAACCCAATTAGCTAGTATGCATTTTTATTTGCGTGAAGTCGTTACCACTTGAATTTACATTAGTTCATCTCCAAATAATTATAAAAAGATTAAAATATTAAATCAAAGTCAAAATACATTAAAACATCAAAATTAAGAAAAAGGTCTCTAGACTTGAATAGTTAATTTTCCATCATTTCTAATGGAGCCAAAAACACTTTATTTGACTTGGGAATATGATGGAATAAAGCAAAATGACTCACTAAACTGTCCACACTTCTTTGTTATGAAGCCTTATTAGTCGGTCAATGTGATTTTCGATGCGATTTTCATCATGGGTCATCCGGAAACAATCTCTCCTTGCTATAGTAAAGGGGTAAGGCGGCTTACATCCGCCCCCTACCCCACCGCTGGGGTAATGTTGTTGTAGACCTGAATAGTTAATCTATTTATATTAATAATTGAATATATAAAATGCTAAATACAAAAAAGACATTGACAAATAGCCGTTCATCTCATTCAAATATACTTCCTCCGTAACATAAAGTTCTTCCCATTTCGAAAGTAGGTAGATTATGAATAGTGAAAGAGGATATGAATTATTGAAGGTATGATGGGAAGATAGTGAAATAGTGTGATGAGATGATCGGATGAAGGATACAACAACATCCAAGCCTTAGTCCCAAAAGATATTGGGGTCGGTTAACATGAAACGATACATGATATCACCACCAAAAGGAAAAGAAAGAAAATAAAGATAAAAAAGATAAGCTATGATAAAAAGATAATATAAAAAGAGATGAATATACATAAAAATGATAAAATAAAAAGGATACAAATAATGCTTATATATATAAGGATAAAGACAAGGAAAAAGGATGAGGGGAAAAGATGATACGAGATCACTCCTCCACACGAATACCCGCCCTCCACTTAGCTCTCTCCAAAGTCATGCCCTCATCCAACCCCAGAAGAAGCATATCACTTCGAACTTTCCTAACCCATGTTTGTTTGGGTCTTCCTCTCCCTCTCTTCCCTGCCTCTTCTCCACACATCTCAACCCGTTTGACAGGTGCATCACTCGGTCTTCTACACACATGACCAAACCACCGTAGGCGTGACTCCCGCATCTTGTCTTCAATAGGTGCTACTCCCACCATTTGTCTGATTGTCTCATTCCTCACGTGGTCCTTCCTAGTATGCCCACACATTCAACGCAACATGCACATCTCTGCCACACGCATCTTATGAATGTGACATTGTTTCACAGCCTAACACTCTATGCCATACAGTAATGCAGGCCTAATTGTTGTCCTATAAAATTTACCCTTCAGTCTAGTCGGCATACCTCGATCGCATAGAAATCTTGACGCACTCTTCCACTTCATCCATCCTATTCTGATTCTATGAGATACATCTCCATCTAACTCACCGTCCTTCTGAATTATGGAGCCTAAATAACGGAACATATCGCTGACTGGTATCTCCTTACCATCCAGAGTAATTCCGCTATCACCACTGCTTTTACCTCCACCAAACTTGCACTCCATGTACTCTGTCTTCTCCGACTTAGTTTGAAACCCTTATTCTCCAATGTTTGTCGCCATACTTCCAACTTTGCTTTAACACCTGATTGCGTCTCATCAATCAATACAATATCGTCGACAAACATCATGCACCACGGTATATCGTCTTGAATTGACTTCGTGAGTTCATCCATGACTATGGCAAATAAGAAAGGGCTCAGAGCTGATCGTTGGTGCACTTCGATAGTAATAAGGAACTCTTCAGTCGTCCCTACACTAGTACGGACACTTGTAGTACAATCCTCATACATATCCATGATGATGCTGATATACTTGCGTGATATGCCTTTTCTAGTTAAGGCCCACCAAAGAACTTCTCGAGGTACCCTATCATATGCCTTTTCTAAGTCAATGAACACCAAATGCAGATCCTTATGAGCGTCTCTATACTTCTCCATAAGTTGCCGAAGAAGGTGAATGGCCTCAGTTGTTGAGCGACCAAACATAAAACCGAATTGATTCTCTAAAATCTTCACAGTTCTTTGAAGTCTTTGCTCAATCACTCGCTCCCAAAGTTTCATGGTGTGACTCATAAGCTTAATCCCTCGATAGTTGGCACATTCTTGTACATCACCTTTATTCTTAAATAAGGGGATAAGAGTACTCTTCCTCCAACTCGTTGGCATGTTGTTTCTCCAAATCATGTTGAAGAAACTTGTTAACCACTCGATGCCTCTCTCTCCCAAACTTCTCCAAGCCTCGATCGGTATGCCATCTGGACCCATTGCTTTCTTCCGTCCCATCTTCCTCAGAGCTTCTTTAACTTCCGTTGTTTGGATCCTTCTCACAAAATCACGATTTACCATACAATCTGGTATGGACACTTCATCGATATCTTGCGTTTTGTTCCCGTTGAATAGTGTATCAAAGTATGACCTCCACCTCTCTTTTATCTCTCTGTCGTCCATTAATATCCTTTGATCAATATCTTTCACACACTTAACTTTTGCAATATCTTGAGTCATGCGATCACGAAGATGAGCAAGTCTATAAACATCAAGTTCTCCTTCCTTAGAGTCCAACTTTTCATACAACTCCTTGTTCACTTTCCCTCGTACTTCCCTTATGGCTTTCTTTGTTTGTCTTTTAGCCTCCTTGTATGCTTCTATGTTCTCATCACTCCAACTTGCCCCCAACTTTTTGTAGCAATATCTTTTGTTCCTTATGGCTTGTTTCACCTCATCATTCCACCAAGATGTGTCCTTTTTAGGTGGCAGACATCCTTTAGATTCTCCAAGTACCTCCTTTGCCACTTTGTTAATGGTCAACACCGTTGATAACCACACATCATCCACATGTGTTTCATTATCAATACGCCATGCATCTTCACCGACCATTTTGTGTGTAAAGCTTTGTTGAAGATCTTCCTCAAGCCTCCATCACTTTATCTTTGGCTCCACTTGTTGTTTAACTTGTTTTCTATGGTTCTTACCTCGAAAGTCAAGCACAATCATCCTATGCTGAGTGACAACACTCTCACCTGGAATAACCTTACAATCAATGTAACTAGTTCTCCAAGTGGTCCGTACTAAGAAATACTCAATTTGGGTACTATTAGCTCCATTTTTATAGGTTACAAGGTGAGAGTCTCTTTTCTTAAACCAAGTGTTCATTATAGCCAACTCATACGTCAAGGCAAAATCCAAAATGTTCTTTCCCGCCTCATTCCTAGTGCCAAAACCATGTCCGCCATGAATACTCTCAAAGCCATCACGACTCAAGCCCACATGCCCGTTGAGGTCACCTCCTATGATCAACTTCTCTCCCCTTGGCACTCGTCGCATCACGTCTTCAAGATCTTCCCAGAACTGTTGAGTTGTAGATGCATCCAATCCCACTTGTGGTGCATAGGTAGGTACTTACCACAGACACAATCCCACCCCTTATCACCAATTTAATGCTCATGATGCGATCGTTCTTCTTGAAGACTTCTACCACATCCTCAACATAGTCACGCACCACAATAATGCCTACCCCATTTCTGGTCTTATCTCTCCCCGAATACCACAACTTAAAACCTCCGGGATTAATCTCGCGTGCTTTCTCTCCAACCCATTTAGTTTCTTGCACACACATAGTGCTGATATTCCTTCTCCTCATAACCTCCACTACCTCGGAAGATCTGTCTGTAAGAGACCCAACATTCCATGTCCCAAAACGCAATCTAGCACTCCACCTTCTGTTCTTAGCACCATCTCTGACCCCACCATGCCCTTGCATATTTGACATCATCCCCGGGCAATAGGATGACGCGCCGCTTCCGGGCGGCGACCTAGCAACCTTAGCATTCTTATCACCACACCCAGGTCTATGAAGTGTAGCGACCGGATGAAGGATAAATAAAAAAATAGTTGTGAACTTGTGATAGTGTATTATTTTCAATATTATTGAGGGTATAATGGGAAGATTTAGAAATGGGAAGATCTTTTAGTTACGTTTGAAAAAAGAAAGTCAGAAGATCTTTTCGTTACGGATGTAGTAAATATTAATATATAATACGGCCATTTTTATTTTATTTATTGTACACACATATGAACAAATATTTTATCTGTCATATGTAAAGCTTTTAAGTATAAGATAAGATAAGATAAGATATGTGAACTCATAATTGAGTGGGAGAATTTTGTCCTTCATGTATAATGTGTTAAGTATAAGAAGATAAGTAGACTAATAATTGAGCGGGATAATTTCGTCTCTCACATGTATTTCTTTTAAGTATAAGAAGATAAATAGTCTAATAATTGAGCAGGAGGAATTTTTCTCTCACGCGTAGTGCTTTCAGATATAAGAAGATACGCGTGTTGATAATTCAGCGGGGGGTTTCTCTCTCAAATGTAATGCTTTTAAGTATAAGATAAGATAAGATAAAATTTGCGGACTAATAATTGAGACGGAAAATTTTTCTCTCATATGTTGCTTTTAGGTATAAGATAAGATAATCAGACTAATAATTGATCGAGAGAATTTCCTCTCTCATATTTGCTCTTTCATTACCTTTTAAACGTATGAGAAGACATCTATTTATATTATAAATAAGAAAAGGAATGGCTCATTAAAATACGTAGTATCATTTTACCTTCTAAATTCAGACATGGCTCTCTCCCCACATTTCACTTCATTGCTATTGTTGTGCCATGTGGCAATGTACACAGAGTAATTCTAATGGAGCACTTCTTTTTCCAAAGGTGAATTCAATGGGTGAGTCCCATGATATGAAAACCCTATTTTTTCTTTGAAGGGTTATATCATTTTCATTATTAATCCATTTTTTGCAAAACAAAACATCAAAATTTATACTATAAAAAAGAACAAATATGTATATTTGTAGTATATTTTCAAAAAAATATATATATACTTATATATTGAGCGGGGCGGGTCGGGACGACACGGGTCAATTCTAATACCCAGACCCATTGTGTGGGCAGGGCGGGGTGGACCCGCCCCATTTGCAAGGCGGGGTGGGCTGCACTTGCTCCAAATGTCTTGGGGCAAGGCTCGTCTTTGGGGGCAGTTTTTTTTTTTTTTTACATTCCTGACATGAACCGATACATGGTATCATAGTAAAAGATAAGAGTGATAAGAAAGAAAAAGATAAGGTAAGATAAAAAAGATAGTAAAGATAGGATAAAGATAAAAATGGCAAGATAAAAAATATATAAAATAAAAAGGACAAAAGGATAAAAAAATAAGAACGATGAAGAAGATAAAAGATAAAAGGATACAAAAGATGAAAAGAGATCAACCCCGAATCCTCCACACGAATATTCTACGTCCACTTTGCTCTCTCAAAGCTTTACTCTCATCCAACCCAAGTAGAAACTTATCACTTCTCACAACCAGTTACGAGTATTATATAAAAATTGAAAATGAAAAGTTATTTCTAATTGCTATATAGGATGGCTCCGGAAGTTATGCAGCAACTACATGGGTATGATTTCAAGTAAGTAGAATCCCACTCTTTGGCCTCTTTCTTTAGATGAATATCTAGTTGTTCTATAATAAGTTTCACACGAACAGAGCAGATATTTGGTCACTCGGAATAACAGCACTTGAACTAGCTCATGGACATGCACCATTTTCAAAGTACCCTCCAATGAAGGTAGTATTTACATGACAAAGATATTTTTATTGCATTTGGAAGTGAATATTGATTTCCTAAAAACCATTGTTGCTAATCTGTCTCATTTCGCTTCTCACTTTAGGTCCTGCTCATGACCTTGCAAAATGCACCACCAGGGCTGGACTATGAAAGGGACAGGAGATTCTCCAAGGTTTATTTTTGCAGAATAGAATAACTTCTTATTAGGTGAAACCTTGTTTTGAGTAAAGTATTGTGCATATGTAGTCTTTCAAGGAAATGGTTGCTGCTTGCTTAGTGAAGGATCCAAAGAAGCGTCCCTCGTCAGAAAAGCTTTTGAAGCATCCCTTCTTTAAACAAGGACGTTCAAATGATTATTTAGCACGTACCATTCTTGAAGGACTTCCCCCTTTAGGTGATCGTTTTAGGATGCTTAAGGTCTCGTGCTACTTTTCGATCTGTAATTTATACTCTATACCTTTTTTGTGACTTTTGACTTATGAGTTCTTGAAATTTGTCGTGTGACTGCATTTTTCAGACCAGAGAATCAGACGTTCTTGTACAGAACCAGGCATTGTATGAGGACAGGGAACACTTATCCCAGGTGAGCAATAAAAAATGCATGCTAAATTTCATCTCTTTTCAAGACAAATATCTATGCATATTTATCTTTTTCAACCAGACTTCTGGTACATGAAAATGTTGGTTGTATGGTGGGGCTCTTCTTGTTAGTCCTGTCACTAAAGCCAAGCGACAGGTTTAAGTCAACTATTTCAGACAGTCTCTGAAAAAAGTTTTATGTTTAAGTGACCATTCATAACATCTTGATTCTTGAAGCTTGTACCATGATTGAGTTGATAGAAAAGCTAGGGAAAAGTACGGAAAAGGTACATGTGGTTGGGTCGTTTTTAGATAGGGTCATGTGTTTCAATTTTTATCAAAGTGGTTCATGTGTTTGAACTCTCTTATCACAAGAGGGTCCTGGCGCCTGACGCCGTTAGAAATCACCGGAGGAAGACGATGAACAGTAACTTTGATTTTCAAAAGTGCCAGGAAAATTAAAAAAAAAATTGGAAGGTGCGCCTCAACAAGACAACCGCTAGACCATCTTTCTTTTTTGTTTCCAGCCACCCTTGTCACCGGAAAGTCCACCGAAAAAGTGATATTAGCAAATTCATTTTTAAAAATTAATCCAAACAGATCCGAAAAATCCAAATACGAAGGTGGTTTGGAGGTTATCTTGATGAGGCTCACCTTCCAGTATTTTTCTTTTAATTTTCCGGGCACTTTTGAAAATCGAAGTTACTGTTCATCATCTTCCTTAGGCGTTTTTAACGGCGTGACCCTCTTGTAATAACGGAGTTCAAACACATGAACTACTTCGACAAAAAATGAAACGCATGACCCTATCTGAAAACTGGCCCAACCGATGTACTTTTTCGTAATTTTCCCAAAAAGCTACTACCTCCGTCCCGTTGAAATGTTCCCATGGCAAAACGGCACGTTTATTTAGACAATATCTAAATAAGGTAGTTCAAGTATATTTTGAAAAATAATTTAGCTGGTATATAACATACTTGTTACGGCGGCTAGGTGTGGCGCCAGCCGACCGCCATATCGCCTAGGCATCTTGGCGCCCGCCTAGGCAACAACTAGGTGACATGTCATTTCACATGTAATATTTAAATATACATACATAATAAAATAATTTATAATATACGTAGTATTACATACTCTGTGTTAAATTACAAACTGTATATGAAACAGCATACTTTGTATAATATATAATTTATATAGAATAAAATAATGTATTACAAATTAAATTGAAATATATGTGTGTGTGTGTAAAACAAGTCAAACAACAAATAATTTATATTATAATATTATATTATATACGGAGTAAAACGGATGTTCAATACAGAGTACAATTTTTCACAAAGAAAATCAACATAAAATATATATTGGTCCAGCTGTCTCCAGTTATAATCGTGAAAGGAAAAAAAAGCAAGAGTAGCAGAACAGTAAAAAAAGCATAGCACAACTGTGAGCGGTCTACTTCAGTTTGAACAGTCTGCAAGTCTAAAAAAACTGGAACGAGCGAGAGTAATGGAAGCGGGGGAGGCAGAGGTGGAGTAACAGCGGTGATATCCGACAGCCACCTGGGGCGTCGACCTGCGTCAGCGACCTGGCCGACGGGATGAACAACTAAGGGCCTAGATCTCTGGCTGACGACAGGTCAGATAAAAAAACAAGATCTGGGCTTCGCCTTGACGACTTGCAGACGCCTAATCGACGCCAAATTACGCCTTGGCAGCTTCAGGTGAGTCTAGTGAGCACGGTGCCACTCCTCCACCGCCAGGATGACTAGTCGACGCCGTAACAACTATGGTATATTATATAATGGGGTTAGTGTTGGTAACTGTGATGCTATAAATGTATATTTAAATATTTATTGATTAATTTGTCATTTAAGGTTGTTAATTATTTCCTAAAATGGAAATGAGAACCTTCATATGGGACGTCCAAAAAAGGAAACTGGGAACCTTTCTATGGGACGAAGGGAGTATTATTTTAGTCAAACAAGACTCTTTTTGGGATGGAAAGAGTATATTCTTTGAGCTACAATGGCTACTAGAGTTCTGATACTATGTGTTTTTGTGCGAGTGAGAGGTTTGAATTAGTCTCTGTGGTCCATGGGCATAAGGCACTTGATTTCTGGACGGGATGTATTTGCATAGTTTTTGGCCAAGAAGAATCTCAGTTCTCCTCTCCCCCACCTCCCCTTCTTTTGGGGGAATTGAGTTGTCAAAGGAAGATGGATTTGTAAAGTTTGATCTTTGCAGCTCTCTGAGCTACTAATTTGCGTTTCTTTATTTGTTAATTCCATGCTTATGTTACATCTTTACTATTGTTGTGTCCCATTGGTACTCTTATATAAACAATTATGAATGTGCATGAAAGAAGTGTAACTTTTGCAATAAAATTAATAGGTACCATGCGTTTCCTCCTGTCTAGTTCAGTCATCATCTTCATCTCCTCCTATCTGGATGCCTGATGCTCCTCCTAATGGAGAGAGAGGAGGATCAAACCATTGTGCATCACAAATAATAAAGCATATTTTTAATGATAGAATTAAAAAATCCCTTTTCCTTTTATTAATGTGCATCTTTAGTTATCTGAGCCTGATTTGTGCTATTATTGCAGCAAGAATACATCCGCGGAGTCAGTGCATGGAATTTCAATCTTGAAGATTTGAAGAACCAAGCTGCTCTTGTACATACACATTATGCAACTTTTTCTTAAATCTGTTCATAGTATACAACCAAATACAAAAACATTTTTTCAAAATGCTCATTTACAAAGAGCTTTACTAAATTTGGAACTACACATTTAAGGACAATTTTACGGTTAAGGGTAGATGTTGTGGCTGCATAAGAGCAGCATTATCGCTGTTACTGCTGTTATCTCCAGCTTAGAAGCGGTCGAACTAGATAGTAGTACTGCAAACTTGCAAAGCAGTGTCAGACAAGAGCACATTTCTCTGCTGAACAGTGACACTCGCTGATGGAGCCGGATAGTAGTGCCTGCATTCAATGGCAATGCTAGATTGTAGCACGCAAGGCAGACAATGGTGACGGCAGATAGTAGCAGCCGCAGTTGGTAGGACATCATATAGTAGCAACCATCGGTGCTACTATTAAAACACCTACTGTTACTGTCTTCCTTATTTGTGTAGAAAACATTGTACGTGGTTTTTTTGTTTTTATAAACTTGGATGTGTAGCCGTGTAGTGGTATGTAGTTCTCCCTATATTATATGGAAAGCTTTTTATCTGTGTTCATTAATTGTTCAACTAAAGTACTCATTCTTGTAGATAGCCGATGATGAAATTTGTAGTAATGAAGATCCAATTGGAAGTGGGACTCAATTGAATAGACACGACGGTGTCTCTCCAACTGAGAGACTATCCTCAAAGATAGCTAATCAGTCAACTAGTATCACACATGAGGTAAATCACGTAATTATTATTCAAGCCTTTTCTACCTTTTTGAATCATTACACAAACTTCTGTTACTTTATTTTGCTGTATCTACGTATATTCAGTTCTAAGTGAATTCTAATATCAAGCAATGATATTTAAATGTTTCTTCTACCCAGGATGCTATCAATGACATCCATGATTTGGAGAACTCACTTGCAGGATTTCCCATTAAACCCCTTCAGGCACTCAAGTAACGGTTTCTTTCCATTTAATTTGTGTGTTTGTGTGATGTATGATTATATCAATCTTTTTCCACCTTTGATGTACAAAACTGATAACCTTAAATTAAAACATATTTCAACAAGTGAAATGTTCATAAGCTCATTGAAGTATAGACATATTGTACTATTGCAATTATGAATACTTCAAAGTTTCACTTATGCCGTGTTTGTTTCATGTAAAGTTCTTGTTACGGTTCAGATAACAATGACAAGACAACTACATTACTAATGCTGTAGATGACAGGATAAGCATAATTTTGTGCACATTACGTTTATTTCATTATTGTATATATTATCGTAATACAAGAATTCACGTTTGATATGATGTACATTGGTTCACAATCTTTAATTCGATGATTTTATCCTTGGGGTTGTGTGTGTAATACAATACTGCCTCTGTTCACTTTTAGTTTTTCGTCTTTCTGGTTTTGTCAACTTATCCTACTTATTTTTCTTGAAGGACATCTGTATCCTTACCTTTTCATCATCTCTATCCCACTTTTCCTGCTTACTCATCATATGTCTCCAAATCTATCACTTTTTCCACCTGTTCACTACTCTACAACTTTATGCTTTATTTTTGTAAAAGACCTAGTAGAGCAATTAAAAGTGAATGGAAGGAGAGAGACACATTGGCGTTGGCGTACCCATGGGTGGCCAACCTGGGCCACCTCAAGTTTGGTAAAAGAAAAGTACTGCAATTTTTTTTAAATATTTATTTGAATGATTTATTTATCGATCCATCTGAACAATATAAAATCTACATTATGATAATATAAGCATATATTATAATAATAAGCTATACTATGTTTTTGTTATTTATTATACATTATAACAAATTATTAATTGATTACACTAAAATATAAGCTAGGAATCACATCAATTAATTATCTGCATGAAGCAACAATGCAACATATAATTTTTTAGTATATTATTACTTTAATATGATATCACTTTGGAAAATTTAAAAAAATAGAATAGAAGCACAAGGGATTATATGGAAAAGGAGATTATTATGGGATTTTGGCGTAATTTCATTTAGCCACGCCTCATTTACGTCATTTGAAGTTTTGACACAATTCAGTGATGACAAAATACATATGTATCAGAGTGGCAGATTACACTAGGTAACTTTCAAAACAAATTTAGGAATTCAATTATCAACGGTCTAGATTTCGGCTTATGGGTGTTATCCAACATTACAATCTATACCCAACCAAACACAGCCTTACGGTATGTTTGAATCCCTGAAAATATTAGGGCGAGTTTTGATCAAATTTGCAAAAAAAATAAATACAAAAAATTAAAAACAAAAAACAATTTCTATATGAATAAGGAGTTAAGGACAATAGTAGCTGTAAGACACTAACAATAGATGTATAAGTAGTAAAGCCCTCCATCGGTGCCACCAACGGCGAGGCTGTTACTCTTCAACGTGGCACTGCCAACAGCGACTACTACTATCTTTTGCCGTTATCGGCAGTGGTTGGTAGTGTCGGGTGTCACTGTATACAGCGCTGGTATGGTCCAGCGGTGGAGGCTGCTACTCTCAAGCGCCACCACCGCCTACCACTACTTCTGGTGGCATTTATGGTCGGGCGCCCCGGTCGATGGTTGGTGCTATTGTATTTTGCTGTCACTGATGGCAAGTGTTTCTACTACTATCCATCGCCGAAATTTGCCACCGGAGATAGTACCAATGTCAGTAGTAGTAGTACAAGCAGTGCACGGCGACAATGCAGTCCTTATTTGTAAAACATTATCTTATTATCTAATTTCAAATTAAGTCAAATTATTTGTAAACCAGAATTTAGTTTTCTCAAAAAATGCTGTGGAAAGTTGCTCTCCATTTTAGGTTCTACCATAGAAAGCGGAATATGATTAATATTTTTCAAAACTTTTATACCGGAGTATATGTTTTGATTTCTTAGTCTTTGTATAGTTAGAGATGGATTAATAAATTGAGTTTGGACGAATATCAAAAGGGTTTTTGACATAAATATGACTAAAGGAAAAGTGACACAAAAATATTACTTTTTATAACATCCAAAATAGTGATTATGCAATATATCACTGCCACACCACCTCATTTTCAACTTTGACTAGCTGCTACTTCTGAAGTTCCGGTGACACTTCTCGGCAACTTTTTATATTTTTACAACGCTTTTTCTTGGAAACTTTGAGCAGGGGTGACTGGTCGGCGGATGGGAAGTTGTTGAGAGAGAGAGAGAGAAGAGATTGGGATGTATGTAGGGTTTGAGATTTCGTTATCACTTTAGAATTGAAAAGTAGTCATATTTTTGTTCATTGAAACACTCGGAGTTATATTTGTTCCATTTTTCTGTATCAAAAACAAATTTATTGATTTTGAACCATTGCTTTAATTTCCCTTGCATTTTCTTTTCTTCTAAATTTTCCTCAATGTTTTCTTTCCTAGCTTTGTCCAATGTTCCAAACAGACCCCTAAGGATTACACATTACTTGGCAAAACAACAACGCTTGATTGCTTCATTTTTTACTCATGTGCTTTCTTTTCAATGTAAATTTATTTTATACCAGGGGCTGTTTTGATGTTTGCAATGATGACATAGATGCTGGTAGTCCATGCTGGAAAGATGTCATTCCTTCTGATTCTGAACAACAATATGAGGTCCAGCCATTGAAAAATGATGGGGATCATGAAAGTGGAAAAGAAAATGTTATTTTTGGTCAAAACAGCTCCCTGCCACACACTACTACTCTAGGGTGTAAAAAGTTTTTGAGTGGTTCACTACTTCAGGGAAATGATGTGGTCATGCATAAGAAGGGAATAACTGATGGAGAGAGGTATGTTATTCAATTCTTCATTTCTTAAACTTCTGATCTATATTGCTCGTAGGTAGCTTAATGGGCCAATTTGTTGTGAATTGGGTTTATTCTGGGTATGGTATGGTTTTAAAGGAGCATCTTACAGTTAGGGCCTACTTCAGACACCATTTTGCTTATAAAAAAATAAAACAAAGAAACAACTAAAATAGGCATGTAATAATAGGTAGAATTTGATACCATCCTCCCTTTTCATAGAGCGTTAATGTATATTAGAGAGAATTCCTTAAATAGGACTAAAACAAGTTATTAATTGCAAATGCCCAGGCTAGGTTATGTAGATCTACGATGCTATTTGATAAGTGCACGCACAAAGCCTCATCCACCCTCTAGCAAGTCCACCGCTGCCGCCCTTTGCTGAGTTTGCCGCTGTCATCCTCCAACAAAGCCGCCGCTCTCCGGCAAGTCCCTGCAACCTCTAGCGAGAATGTCCTTGATATGAATAATGACATAATAATGACATTTTCGTATAGAAACATGACATTTTCATATTGTGAAAATATAGAAATTTTAGATGAAAAATAAAGACATTTAAGATTTCCAATTTCATATAAAATAATGTAATCGTCATATACAATTGAAAATCTAAAATATGAGAAGAAAGTGAAAAATGAAAGGTAAAAAACAACATCGATTTTTATACATTTAGTGTGATGAAAATGACATCTTTCGATTTTCACTATGTGTCATTCAGAAACAGTCTCTCTGTGCTCTAGTACATGGGTAAGACTGTGTACATCCGAACCCTCCTTACCCCACCGAAGGTGTGGGAGCCTTTGCGGCACTGGGGTAATGATGATGATTAGTGTAATGAAAATGACATCTTTTGACGAACACGTCAAAAATATGGCATTCCAAATACTATAATTTCAAATTGAGGATTGCCATCTTGAAAAATGTACTACCATAAAAGTGACAGTTTTTCAAATAATCCATAATCATGACATTCTCAGTTTTGAAAAGTGACATTTTCCTGAATATTAGTAGTTAGGCATCAATTTTCCTGACATTCTCCAGTGCCGCAAAGGCTCCCACCTAAGGTGGGGTAAGGGGGTCAGATGTACGCAGCCTTACCCCTGTACTAAAACACATAGAGACTGTTTCCGGATGATCTAGTGAAAATCACGTTGAAAATTGCATGGACTGACTGCTGCTTCATAACAAAGAAGCGTAGACAGTTTAGTGAGTCATTTTTCTTTATTCCATCATACTCCATCACCATCATCATTACCCCAGTGCCACACGGGCTCCCACCTACGGTGTGTAAGGGGGCTCGGATGTACAGTCTTAGTCTTACCCCTGTACTAAAGCACAAAGAGAATGTATATATGGCTCCCAAGCAAAAAAATAGCGAGTTTTTGGCTCCATTGCAAATGATAGATAAAAATTAATCAGAAATGATAAATAAAAATTCAAATCCAAATATAGTTGATTCATTAATCGTGCCCTTTATCTGAAAATTTCAAATTCAAATTTTGATTTTGAATCTCAGTGATATAAAATTAGAAAAACAACAAAAAGCAGAGGACCAAGAACATGATGAGAAGAAGAAGAAGAAGAAGAAGAAGAAAAGGAATGAGGAGGAGAAAATTACCTGGTTTTGCCAGAGAAATCAGAGTATAGGTGAGCTGCCGATGATGAGTGATGGGTTGAAGTCGATGACGGAGCGATTCCGTACTGCAGTCTATGGCAGAGGGAAAATCGCAGGCGAAGAACCGTCTGGGTTGCGATGTTGCATTGATGGTGGTCATTGGAGAGAGATCTCAAGTCTGCGATAAATGGAGAGGGGTTGAGTCAGACTTTTGGGGTCCTATTTAGGAATCCTACTTTAGAGAATAATAAACTTAAATTCCTACTTAGGAATTTTGACAATGTTGTGGTCCTATTTAGGGCATTTTTTTATATATATTACTGAGTAGTGATGTGTTTCTCTAATTAATATAAAGGGATTATCAACAGCCAAGATATCAATCTGAACGGAACTACAGTGGTCCACTGCAGTATAATCACAAGAAAGAAACTGGTAATGTACTACTCTACTATTATATGAACCTTAGCTTCTTGTATGCAATCATTCCTTTACCCTTTGTTTGGGTGGAGGGTGTTGGAGGGAAGGGGAGGAAAGCGGAGTTGTGTTGTGTTTTTTGCTCGGGGGAAGGGAAGAAAATGGCCGAGCTATTGACTCCACAGACCCTCATATTTCGCTCGCCTAATTTGGGTATTTGGGATGAGTTATATATCTTTACTAATTTCTTTTTCACCTTGTATAAAAGAATGTTCCACATTATTGTTGTTATACATACCGTTGCTTCTTTTCTTTTAGTACAAATGTAAAATTCCTCTTCTTTCTTGATGTTTTAGGAAATAGCCAATTTTGCTTTACGTATTAGTATAAAAAAGTTTTAAGAAATTAGTGTGTCAAGTATCAAATTATTAGTGAAAGAAAGGTGTTAGACTTGGTAGTCTCAAATAGACTAACTAAGTTAATGCTTCTCTCTTTCATTTAGTATCTCGAAATGAAAGAGAAAGTAATATGTAAAAAGTAAAAAGGGGTAAGGGTAATAAAAGTGGGGGTATATAGGTATATTTATTGAAAAACTTTCCAAAAATGGAAAGGACAACTAATAAAAATGCCCCAAAATGGAATATGAGACAGTTATTAGAGAACGGAGGGAGTATTTTGTACTCCCTCCGTCCCGAAATAATTGTCCTGCTCTCCTTTTCGATCCGTCCCGAAATAATTGTCTCCTTTCCTTATTTGGTAAACAAATCTATACAAAACAGTGTCAAACAGTGCAAAACAGTGCCAAACAGTGTCGCTACAGTGCCAAACAATGTCGCTACAGTGCCAAACAGTGTCGCTACAGTGTGAAGTCAACTTCACTTTCTTAATCTGTGTGAAGGTCAAACCAGGACGATTATTTCGGGACGGAGGTAGTAGTTATTCTAAATTTCTATTTGATATTTCATATGTAATAATTCATAACCTTCGAAATGCTAAAAATATAAAAATATAAATTCTAAACTCCTAAAGTGAAGACCAAAAGTGATTTGTAAATACTAAATATAAAATATTCAAAATAAAAAAATATAAAATGAAATCTTAAATAAAATATTAATGTAAAGACATAGATATACAATATGAATAAAAAGTTTGCAACTATATTTTTATTTTTTATTTATATGTTTTAGTTTTATATTTATATTTATATTCGTTTTGTTTTTAATTTTGGGAAAAGTACGGAAAAAGTACTTGTGGACGTGGTTGGGCCCATTTTCTGATAGGGTCATGTGTTTTATTTTTTATCAAAATGGTTCACGTGTTTGAATTCCGCTATCACAAGAGGGTCACGCCATTAAATACGCCTGAGAAAGACGGTTAATAGTAACTCCGATTTCCAAAAGTGCTCGGAAAATTAAAAGAAAAATATCGGAAGGTGCGCCTCATCAAGATGACTTCCACCTTTGCCTTTGGATTTTTTTCGAATCTGTTTGGATTGTTTTTTAAAATAAATTCGCTAATATCTCTTTTTCGGTGGACTTTCTGGTGACAAGGGTGGCTGGAAACAAAAAAATAAATTTGCTAAGATGTCTTCCTCAGGCGTTTTTTTGTGTGACCTTTTTGTGATAACGGAATTCATACACGTGAACCACTTTGATAAAAAATGAAACACATGACCCTATCTGAAAACGGGCTCAACCACAAGTACCTTTTCAGTACTTTTCCCTTTAATTTTTCTTTTAGATTTATTACAAGTTTAACACTTTTAATAGTTCAAGGGGTGTTTTGAACAGCTTGATGGGTTCAGGGACCTATATGAACATTTTCGTTTTCACGTCAGCCGTTTACCGAGTAACGTGGTAGCTATCCAGAAATTGACCCGTAAAGAGTGGAAGTTGAACCTTTTTGCTAGTTCATGGTGTGAATTAGACCTTTTTTAGTTCAGAGACTGAATTAAGCAAACCCGACAAGTACAAGAGCCTATTTGACCCTTTAGCCTTTTTAAAATCTCCCATTCCTCCACCTCCTCCATTCCTCCCCTCCCATTTTATGAACCACACAAAAGCTTAGAATTCTCAATGTTAAAATACAGGTGAAGATACATCTGAAGGAGCTATTGTCCAACGCAGGGGACGATTCAAAGTCACTTCAGCAGAGTTGAGTCCAAAGGTATGTATTTCTCAAGTGTCTTAAACTCCAATTGCATTAATTGCAAAGTAGCCTTGAACTGTTTTGAAAAGCTAATAGTGAGGGCATAACTTGTCAATTTATCTTCTAGGCAATGGCTTTGTAACCATTGCCTTTTTATCAACTCTTATGTATAGGGTCCTACAAACTGCTCTGTTAATGCTGTTTCTGGAAGTTTGAATGGTCCAACTGTTCCTAGTACAATGGTTTCTTCAGTTCTACCGTCATTACAGTGCATGTTGCAGCAGAATATATTTCAAAGGGTAATTTATGCTTTTGTAAATTTTCTTTTAGGGTCTACATGGAACCAGAGAAAATTGTTCAAACCCAATAAATCAGTTTTAGGTGTTTGTTGAAACTTGTTTTATTTATATATTTCTATTATATAAAGACTAAGAAAAAACTAATTAGTGTATTTATATCTTTAAAGGTAAAACAAAAAATAATAATGTTCTTTCCTTTGGATTTTTCCCCTTTCCTGTCATTTTATGTGTTCCAAACATAGGAAAGAGCCTATAACAGCTATGACCTGATTATAATTACTTTCTACCGGTCTTTTTAGGAAGAACTCATTAAAATGATCAAGTATGTGGAGCAAGCATCTGGTAAATAACATTGATGTCTGCTTTTCGCTCTTTCTTTCTTTTGATTACTATGGGAGTAGAGCTTCTCTAACTCGCCCTCCATTATTAACTACAATGCAGTCAATTCTGTGGACACAGTTGAGACCGGAAGTAATGGGTACTCACAGGTAATCATAATTTCGTAATGCTTGTTTGTTTTTATGGGAATTGAGACAAAAGATAAAAGTGAGAAGTGGAATAGGAGAGAAAAGAAGCTTTTCTCTTGCTTGTAGAGCTAATAAGTGGGAAGTAAGGTGGGAGAAATGTGTGGCCCACCATATTCTATCGTGGGAGGGGCTTTTAAAAAATCCATTTGAATTCTTCTTTTACTTCATGTAATTTTTAAATGAAGAGCTAAGAAGCACAGAGCTTCCCGCATCTGATTTCAAAAATTCAGAAGCATGCCTGAATTCAGAAACTTCAGACTCCCATTCCCGTTCGTAATTAAAAAGTAGCGGGAAATCTGTTTTCCTAATTAAGTTGCGTTTAAGAAACGTTGAGTTTCCTATGTCCTTTTTAGTGGAATTCCTTTAGCTCAAGTAGGTGTCTATTTATGATTTTTTTTGTAGGATTTCTGTATAGCAATATTGTCTTTGTGATATTCTATGGCACAATGCACTTCTAGATGCATTTTACATTTGGTTATGTATCAATATGTGGATTATACTTGAAACAGACATGGATACATATATGAATTGCGTTTAAGAAACTTTGAGTTTCCTATGTTTTCGTTTTTATTGGAATTTCTTTAGGTCAAGTAGGTGTCTATTAATGGATTTTTATTGTAGGATTTCTGTATAGCAACATGGTCTTTGTGATATTCTATGGCACAATGCATTTCTAGATGCATTTTACATTTGGTTATGTATCAATGTGGATTATACTTGAAAAAACATGGATACATATTTGAAAAATAATATGAATATATATGAAGAAGTATTTATAAATATATCCATGTATATTTATTATTTACGTTGTCGCCCCTCGCTTTATTGTACATATTTCTAAAATGCCACACATTTCCTGTTTCACATTTTCATTTCGTGTTTACATGCTTACTCGGAAGTCGGATCATGATCATTTTTTTGTCATTTTAAGCATAACACAATAATTTCTCTTTTGCTTCTCTCTTCTTTTCTACGGAGTATCATTTTTATTACATATTCTTTCTTTACACAGTTTCTTCTCTTTTCTTTTCTATTTCTTTTGTCCTCAAAACAGAGCATAAAAAATGCTTGAGCTGTTTTATCTCATTATAGTGTCAGCTCATGGTTGGCATCCATTGTAGCTTATGGTGCAGTTGCCAGCTTCTACATTTAATGCCATTTTTAATCTGTTTTTTGGTGGATGTGTGAAGGTGCCTCCTACCTCTTCAAGAGAGAGAGATCTGATGTCCCAGATGATGCAATTGCAACAAAGGTACATAACAAGAAGCAACTTTATTAAGTATGAAACATTTGTTCCCTAAGTGGATTCTTTAATATTTTTCAGTGCGGGAAACATGGTTGAAGAGTTGCAAAGACAGAAGATAAAAAATGCTCTGGTATGTATTCAGTCAATGAGCGGGTTTTAAATGAAATAACCAAAGGTGGCACCTTTATCATTTCTGAAAATACTTGTAGGCTCTGTTTGGTAGCCATTTTGGGCCTATGGACTATTTGTCATGAGAAAAACAGAATACGTAACTTATTTGTCTTTAATGAATGTTTCCGAAAAGTTTTTCATCCATTAAATTCGAATTAGTCATTACAACCAAATAACCCTTGCCAAACAGGCACATACTTTAAGATCTACATTTGCACTTCCAGCCCTCAATACTACCCTAAATAAAATCTATGAATTTACATTTGATTGAAGTTTTAACTTACGCATTTCAAGAGGGGTAAATGAAATCCAACCATTTTGTTTTTGTTTGTGAGTAAAGTCCTGTCTTTTTTGAAACACTTGAAGCCCAAAGCCAAGTTAGACTTAAAAACGGTTTTGTCAAACCTCATTATTTTATTTTGATGTATTCCATCAATGTATTATAGATTTTGCCACTTTTATTCCTCCAACTATTGTGTTACTGATCAATTTTTGTATTTGACTTTGAACTTTGGGAAATTTTCCGAAATAGGAGTAAAAATAATGTGTAATTCTAAGATAGGAGTATTATGTTCCCCCCTAAATAGCACCGCATTACTGCCATCCAACAATAATAGTGTCATATTTTGTCATTACCCGTCATAATTGGCGGTATTTTCCAAATATGACACTAATTGCTTCTATTTACGGGCAAAACATAGCACTCCTATTTTAGAATTTCACATGTCATTACTTCTATTTAGAGTGATATATTTTGAATTTTAACTTTTAGTCCTTGAACAATTGAGACACTTTTAAATATTTCTACTTCTCCGACTTTTATAAAAGTGGCACTGGTAATACTTGAAGGATAAGAAAGTGTAACTTTTGCAGTAGTAAAAAAACTAAGTGGTAAAATTTAAAGTTGAGTGCCAATATTATATTTGCCACTAGTTCAAGGACTTAAAGTAGAAAATCTTAAGTCATGTACGAATCACGTTCACACTAGTTGAATGACTGAAATTGGCAAAAACTCTTGTACTAGAATGAATAAATCTATTTTTTGTAAAAGATGTTAGAAGTTCTAATTAAGTTTGATTATCATGCATATTTTTTCAAGTAAATCCTTGAAGCCCATTTTCCTTGCTACTTGTTTTTCTCTTTTCCCTACAATCTCGCAATCTCAAAACATGGCATATAAATTAGAAGAAAACATAAAATTACTTTTTGAATTATGAGAATCCACTCCGTTCTCGGGAAACACTCAACCTGTTGTATGTGGGAAGGGCATGTGATGCCCCCAATTTCAGGATAGGATGAAACTCAAGAATTCCGTGATTCTTGGGTGTTCACATCCAATTGTGAGCATCATGAGCCGTCACACTCCATATTCCCGAGAGAGTATCATGCATATCCAAGTGGGGATGAAAGTGGTACTGTATATAATGACTAGAAGTCTTCTGGATTGCAGTTGGAAAAGAAATTGAATGCATTGCTCGAGAAAGCGGAACAAGGATGAAGTGGTTGGACTCAGAATTTTCATGTTATATGATGTCAAAGGGTGTGTTTCAATTCATTCGACAGTCATCCTGGTGACCTGGTTTGTGTATCATATTTATTACTATGCGATAATGGTGTACGTGTAGTTAATTATTATTAGTTATTATCATTGTGTATCATATCTATTACAGAGTATTACAAAAGCTCTTTGTTGTAATTTAGTGACTACGTATTGTAATTAAATATTCTTTAAGGATGTCGATACATTGCACCTCCCCATGGAGCTGATATATCTAGCGGTAGACCAGGACTGTTCAGTTCTCTAACTGGAAGTTGAACTGGCAGGCAGTTTCAGAACTGGTCCAGGTAATGAGATATTCTTCCAGCCGGATGCCGATTCCTCCAAATCATCAAAGAGGACTGGCCGATTTTTTTAATGATATGGATTGAAAATTTTTGTTAGGAATAAATTATAAATCTAAAGGTTTTCCCATAAAATTCTGAGGTAAAATTTATGGGAAAATATTATTAAAGTTATTATGGGTAGTATATGATTACTACACTAAAAAATTAGATATATGCATAATGCATATAGCTATAGTTGTTAAAAATTATTAATAGTCATTGTGTAAAGAAAGAGATGATTTTTTATCCATCTTTAATTTAGTCATATAAATATCACTTTCAAAAATCTCATTAGAATTGTGAGCCTTGGTAGACACTAGATTCTCACCCGTGCGATGCACGGATGAAAATTCACCAATGTATGTTTAACAATTTTATTATAAAAACGTATAAATAATTGAACTTAGAATAAAGTAGTAAGTAATACGTAGTATAATAAGTGTTCATAGTCAAGGAGAGATATGACACCGTTGAAGAAAGAAAAATGTAAATATTATAAAAGAGATACTCCTATAATATTTGAAAGTACAAAGTGATAAGAAAAATAGTAAATGTTCATAGTGAACTACAAATTCAAAAAGACTTCTTTGTATACAATATTAGTAGTATAATTGAATTGTTTATCATCCTTATCACATATCAATATTTTCAACCCTTTGGGATTGATAACTCTTGACACTGCGACATATATTTAAATTTGATATAATTATAAATCCAAATTTAATACACCTTGAATTAGATGAAACCAATACCCTACTAAAACGAACTCAAACAAACTTAAAAATTTGTGACATTCGTAATTAGTTTATTATTAAGAATTATTGTTATTAATTTTAACAATTTTAAATTATTAACAATTAATATTAATAATTATTAATAAAAAAATTGGATTTTATTAAAATGATAATTTTAATAGTTTAAGAATCAGGACCATATATTACCCGGACCAATTTGAATCTGATTTAAAAAAGAGTTACTGGCCCAATTACACTATAACCCAACCCAATAATCTGTATTAATTCCTGCCCAACAGCTTCAACCTAACCCATACTATATAAACAACCTTTACCCTTCATTTTTCTCATTTACTCTTCGGCATATATCACAGACCATCAGTTATCCTCTTCTACGATCTTCATCTACGTTTCATGATCTTCTCCCATCTTCTCCGACATCTTCTGTGGTCGTCGGTAATTTCATACCACCACAGTCAATCGTCCCATTATTGTGAAGAGAGTGTCTATTTGTCAGATGAAGCCTTATTCGACCATTGTTAAGGCTACGAAGGCTCAGTGAGCTTCAAAGGATCTGAGACCTAATTTTCCATTCATCATGTCGGTATAACTTACGCATTACTCTGTTTTATTAATTTTCTATTGAATGCACTTTTAAATCATTTTGTTTAATTTAAGGGATTTATTAATTCCTTAAAAAATTTCCAGTGTGAAGTTAGTTGATGTTTTTCTGATCTGTCCTGTAACGAAGGCTTTGTGATAATCAAATGATCTTAAGCCTAATGAATCCTTTCATTATTTGGGTAGATCATGCAATATTCCTTTGTCTTTTGACTTTTATCGTGGATTATTGGACTCCTCCGACGGAGCCTGAGCTATACCGGTATACTACCTCCTCAGTCGTACAATATTCTGACTGTAGCGAACAACCTTTTCATATTTTCGACTCTATTTTTGGTATATTTCTACAAGTTCTATATATTAATACGATCTGAAACATGCAATTTATTTTGTTTGAATCTGATTGTAAGATTGATGATTTTTAAAGGAAATTAAGGGGGGTGTCCCCAACCTGGAATCTGATGGATTTTAAAGGAATTTAAAATTCCACCAAAATCTGGGTGTCCTACATTCTGATTTCTATGGATTTCTATGGAGTCTATTAAAATATGGGTGTTCTCAAACATTCCATGGATTTCAAACTATTATTATTTGGATGGAGTTTAAAGGATTTTGATAGGAAAATTACGTGTAAATGATTCCATCTGAAATATTGCCTGCACCCCTCGGATTTCAAATCCAACATATTCGCAGAAGAAAGATGGACAAATAGAGTTCCATTTTGCCAGCGGGAGAAAGGGGCGAGATAACTGGTCCATGGCTCCTGAGGTTGCTGGTGAATAACTTCAGCTTGAAGCTTTCATGGCATTTCTCATTGGATTCCATATCTACCAGCTGGATGATGGCATCGTTCCTTTTCTGAGATGCAAGAACCACAAGGGCCACATAACAAGAAGGGAAGCTCCAGAATGAGAAGGAAACCTGCTACTCACTTGGAAGAAGAAGAGTTACATTCTCTTGTTAATGCTACCCATTTTTATCCACGCTCCATAGCTGAGACGAGGGATTGGTTTTTGGAGAAGAAATTGAGCTCAAAGGAAATTGTCCAGATTCTACCATATAATTCGTAGAAATCCATATAATTCTACCATAGCGAAATCCATAGGATTCCACAAGAGTTTGTAAAATCTTTAGAATTCCTTTAAAATCCATGAAATCCACAATCTTTGAAAATCCATTAAAATCATTGTACAGGACACCCCCCTAAATCAGTGATGATGCCACAAATCTGTCTGTATATATGATTCTAAGTACAGCTATGTCATTATATTATGTGTATCATATTTGTTTTTTAATAGACATAAACAGACGCATTTGATAAATATGGTCGGGATAATAAATATGCATTGCATAAGTGACCAATGTATACTGATATCTCTCAAACATGCGATATTCTGTAGCATATATCGTGTCACACATTATGAGCAGAATAGACCCGTAGTAACCAAATCTACTCTTTCAACTGTTATATGATATAAACCTATTTTTCTCTATGTATATGAAGAAAGTAGTTTTTTTTAACATATATACGTGTTTGGATTTGAAGTGTTTCCCATTTTAAATGAACTGTTTTCCCATGTTTTCCCATACGTAAAAGTGATCTCTGTTTATCACATTTATTATACAAATGTACCTGAATGTCGTTTGTAAATTTTAGTATACATGTAAATATTCTTGGAAAAACTCTTGCTTTATATTTGATTGTATTGAACTATAATTAGATTTGTTGGCTGCCCTCTTCAATTAAATATCTTTTAATTCAACATAAAATCATTAGAGTTATTGTTGTGTAAGTACACTTACTTTAAAAATGCTTTCAAATATCAAATACTTATATTCTTGAACTGCGTTGGAAAAGATGTACCTACATTCAAATCATTTTGCTTGTGAAATTGACATTTCATCTTAAGTTAAATCCCTAAGCTTAAGTGTTTTTTTCGGATAAAAAATAGTACTGATTCTTTTTATAAACAGCACATGTGAATCCAAGGATGAAAACAGTACTGATTTTTTTATACATGTGAATTCAGTACTATATTCATCTTGAATTCGTCCAATCCAAGAAGGCCTTTTGCTAGCCTTTGAGATTCAAATAAATTTTGTACTCTTTCATTCATATGCATTCAGCACGATATTTGGAAGATTGTGGCTGCTTACATTATGTGTAACATAATAGAAGACCTTCTGTTAACCTTGGAAATTAGATTTGCTAACTCTTTAATATTTAACTCGTCAAATATTAGTCTTGGAAGATTCAATACTCTTTCATTTCTAAAATCAGATGCTTGCAAATTAGATTTGCTAACTCTTCAATATTAAACTTTGTTACTATCAATGTAAATTAATATTTGAAAAGAAGCAGCTGCATTTCAAACCTAGTTTGAGAAAGCATATATGTATTTATATATAATGTTTATTATTAATTATATCCTTGTATGTTTTAAAGAAATGTTTGTTCTTGGAATATTAAGATGTTTTTTGTAAGATTATTCACATAAATTATAAATATTTAATATGGTGATGTCTCCCAAGATCCAGTAAGCCCCATCTTGCATAACTTGTTTGAATTAGGCCACACCAAAATTTTAGTTAAACATGTTTAGTGTTAGTTTTTGAGTTATTATAATTTACCTGGATTTCTCGTAGCACATCATGGATTGTTGTTATTATTGGTATATTATAACTTGTACACTCCATGCTCTTTAACTTAAGACTTATCCATTCCAAGTAGTAGCCTCTTCACTGTGTAGTATGGATTCTGGTCCCCTGTCAAAAACATTTGATGTTAAAATTCAAATAAAACTAATGCCAAGCTGATTAGTAATTACACTGGAGCATTGTTTTTGAAGAAAGCATTACCTAATCGCTGAGATGGTGTGTGTTTGTTGTGGTGTTGAACTGTTAAAGCATTTAGGGTATTTATAGTGGCATAAGCCTTGGTCTAAAATCGTATGAGTGGTTTTTAACCAATGGTTCATTCAAACTCAACAATCTTTAGTCTAAGATTTTTAGTACATATCATTTAATGTTGTGTAGTACAAATGTACAATTCATTTAATGTTCATTTGATGATCTTATGCTTCAGATAGCAGCTTGTTCATAATACACAACATTAAATGTTCATTTAATGTTCATAATACACAACATTAAATGCTACGGAGTATTACACAACAAATCAAGACTGAAAAAGCAAAAGTTTCTACTCTGCAGATTCTGAAGTGCGTTGTCCAAGACAATCCATTGAGCCACACGGTCTGAATCGTTGACCACAGATCTTCAATATTATAATAGTTTCTTGAGCCACACAAACTTCATTGGACATTGGGCCTTGTCCTTTTTTATTATTATTGCAGCTCTGTTCTTATGACCCCTTGAGCCAACTTGTCACTTCTTTGCAAAAGTGGTTGAGCCAACTTTTCAGACCCGTTTGACTCATACTTGTGACCCATATTTGACCCATATTTTGACCCGGTTTTTGGGCGGGAACATTGTTCATATTTCGTTTTGCTTTTGTATA